TTCGCCATGAACTTCTTTTCCCTCCGTGAAGTAGGTGCCTCCAGATCAAACTCAACCTTCAAGAAGAGCTCTGTCTCGGCCATGGCATCGTAGAGGTCGAACTTGGATTCCATCTCCACCTCCTTGTACAAGACCTCCACCCAGTTCTCGTCCTTTCGAGCGCGCTTTGACTCACTCGCATCGTAGTCGTTCACGTCGGTTCTGGGTGGTTGCTTGCTGGACTGTGATGCGGCAGGATCTCCTTCACCTTCATCAGATGAGTCCTCAACAGTAGGCACAGCGGGTGGCACAGCGGTCACAGTTGTCTTTCGTGTCACCCTTCGGGTTGGTGCCACCGTGGTTGTTGCATTCGGTTGTGGTGGTAGATCAGGTAGTTCACGCTCTGTTTCACCGGGCTCTTCATCTAGTAGATCGGTATACTCTCGCCTTGGAAGCATGTCCGCGAGAGATCGCCACTGGCTTGTGTCTTCTTGACCAGAAGTCTCGAAAACAAACCTTTCCACCTCGGTCACCGGTTTGACAGAGTGCACTGAACACCGGTAGAGTCGTGATCCAATCAAGACCCACACAATATGTCTTCTGTGGTCTCCTTCAGTTTGTTGAGGCAGAACTTCATGAAAAACAACTCTTCCGGGTCCAATCCAGTGAGGACGTCCTGATAGCTTAAAACCACCTCGCGGTCCACGGTGAACTTCTTGGGGCCATAGTTTTCTCCAAATCTTCACCAGGTCCATCTCCTTGAAGGTTCGAAGAGGTTGGCGGACAGTAGAGTTGGAGAGTTTTGTGAGGATTCTCTGAGATCGGGTCTTCAATGCAATCTCCTCGGCCTTCTGTCGTTGAGTTACCAACTTCGTGAACTCACCGCGCTGCTCGTCCGGGGTGCTGGCATAGGTTCTCACGTCTTCATCGGACACGTTGTAGTTTTGTCCGAAGGCCCATTGAAATGCTGAATACCCCGCTGTGTACTCCGTGGCATTCAGGGCTGCCGCAGTCAACTGCAAAGTCACGAAGGGATGCTGTTCAAGTGAATCCAGGTGAATAGCTGTGGCTGTCCGCTTCATGTCTTGAACTCCCGCCTCGGAAACACCATGTGCCCAACTTTCCTTGTCGGCAATGTAGTGCGGTTGAATGTTCACTGACGACAGAAAGTCATGCATCTTTTCAGAGGCAAAGCTGTAAGCGGCATCAAAGATCACCACCTCAGGTTTTGGAAAAACTCCCAGCCAGCGCTCAGCGAAGGCTTGAATCACCTCATCCGTCGATTCAGCTTGCATGGCCAGCACCTCGTAGATCAGTAGTGGTTGCACAACTCGAAGCTTTGTCGCCATGTCCATGAACAAGGCAAACTTGGCCTTCCTTCTTGAACCAGGGATGTTCCACTCGGCCACATCCACCGTCACTGCCTGCCAAGCTTTGTACATGGGCGTAGTAGTCGCTGGGGGTATGTTTCCTGAGCTGGTACCTCCAGGTCGTAGTGATTCGCACGCGGAACACCGATGATCAAGAGCAACTTGAATCTTCCACTCTTCATGGCCACCGTCCTTGATGATCCGCGCCAGGTTCTTGTTGGTCGGATGCCCCGCGGCCCGGTGTATCTTACTCACTTTGGCCTTCCACGCCTCAACCTCTGCTTGTGGTACATCACGAAGTGGACTCTGTCCTGTCTCCTGGGCATAGATCGTGCCAGAGATAGCCGTGGTGCATGCTGCTTGAACTGAATCACCAGAGATAGCCGTGGTGCATGCTTCACTAAAAACACGACCATGAGGAGGATCCGGATTTCTGGGTTCTTGCTCTCGGCTCACAGGTTGTACTGAACAACCATCACATGGAGGAGGATCAGGATTTCTGGGGGCTTCTTGCTCTTGGCTCACTTGTAGTCCATGAGGCATCTGACTTGCCTTGAACAGAGGAAACCCAAACTTTTGTAGTTGTTGTACTTGAGGTCTGGGAAGCTCTGGAGCAAGTCGCGTGGTAAACGCTGACAAACCAATGCGAAATCCACTCCAATCCTGGGTAGCGTGCATCACCTTGGGGTCGAAGATCACCGCCTTGCGATTAGCATCCATCACGTACCCTTTTGCAAAACTCCCATCAGCCATCCGTCGTTGCACCGTAGGTTGTCCTGGAGGAGGTTCTTGTCGCACCCATAATCCACCACCTCGAAAGTCTCCCACGCACAACAGGATGTTGTGGGTGTTGATCAGGTTGTGGTGATCGCAATGTGGCAAAGCCTTGGTGTTAAAGGTGATCATGAGGGTAGACCAAGTTTCTTGTGGTACAAGACGACGAAGAACTGCATTGACGTACTGAACCAGCTCACGGTGTTGGTCAGTGATCTTGGTCACTCCATGGAACGCTCCGTGAGAGTATGCTCCAAAGGTGAAGCTATTCACATTGGACGCCGTCCCTCGGGAATGCTCTGAGGCACACCCAGCTCTGACTTCAAGTGATTGATGTAGCTGTAGCAACACCCGTTGTAGTTGATCAAGTTCAAATACTTGTCTTAGCCGAGCTTCTCGGGCCACATGTTCACAAGTAACTCGGCTGCTGCTGGACATCGGCATGTTCATGATCTCATGGTCCTCCGTGCTCGCCACCATCTCTTCCAGCACCCTTTCCTCGTGGTAGTAGTCGCCATGCCCTTCGTCTTCCTCACATCCACGTAGAGCTGGAAGATCTTCTCGAAGAGAGAGTAGTTGACGATGTCGACGGGGTGCTTGTTGATCACGCCAGTGTCGGGCGATAGATTGCACCATTTTCCATGGATAATACCCATTGGCATCGCTCATCTCCTGAGGGTGTAGATGACTGTGCCGATGATTGCCGGGGCAAACCTTAGCTCTAAAGTCCTTGTGAAAGCGCTCGTCTGTGGTCTTGAGCATCCATTGCTTCTTCACAAAACACCCAGAGGCATCTTTCATCCCGTAGTTGCAGCCAT